GGTTAACGTTTTTTACCACTGACGGTTAAAATTTGTCAATTTTTACCGTCCGCCTAACGGCTTATTGTTTTGCCGTTTAACGGCTAACGGTAAACTCCATAGAGACCCACTAAAATCTGGCACTTGGGCGGGGCATTTGAACATAATTTTTGCCCAGGGGGCTGGAACCAATCTTCAAAATTTAAAAATTCCTGAGGAGAGTTGGTTTTGAAGTTTCAATTGATCAACGCAACATATTTTCTTCTAGCATAATAACTTTTGTATCCCTCCGATGCCATCTGCTTGATAATCACCGAAAAAAACCTGCCACAGTGTCTTCATTCACCCACAACCGAGTCCAATTATTTTCAGTTAAAAACAGTCACCAAAGGGGTTTTCAACGGGGTAGGGGTGAGTCCTCCTACACAGTGCTTGTCCCTGCTTTTTAGTGAAACACTCGACCAAGGTAACATGTTTTATATTATCTAATGAAGAAGTGTTATTTACATATTATTATCAGTGATTTTCGGGGCCGAAAAATCGTAGAAGGGGAAGAAGAAAAAAAATTTTTTATTGAGATTGAAATGATTTCAAGCCTTGCGTGACAAACACTTGAGTATGTTACATCTACAGCAGTATCAGATTGCTTCCTGTCTTCAACCGTCTTTTACCGTTCTGCAAAGAACATTTGACCTACCGGTAGAAAGGATTGAATTGTCATCTTTCTATGTCACAATGAAGCTCAATTTTACCTAGAACTTTCTTAAAACTTAAATGTGTTCGAATATGCCAAGAAAAACAGACACCCTCTGCTAGCTTATGGAATGGGATATTTTAAACAATTTCGCCATGGGAAATGGATGAGAATTTGAAACGAAAGCAGGCATAAAATCCAATTTGTCGTCGTTAGCTATGCAAGGCTAGCTTACTGTATTGATTTCCTTATCGAACACAGTGCTAACAGCTAAAATGTGCTTGGAATTCCGGAGTTAACCAGAGGGTGCCTAATTAGATTGTCGTTACGTAAATGCCGATGTTGCGATTTTCACAAAGTTCAGCCTGGTTTTTCCTTGAGGAAACGAAAAGCCCCACACTAATTTTTATATCCTCGTAAACAACACTAATTCCACTTGTCATGAGCTCAACCTGAACCGATTCTGAGTTACACTGCATGGAGAAAATGATAATTGAAAATTTGCTACGAAAAGCGATATATGGATTTTGAAATATTGGTGATTTTTAAAAGCGTTCCATGAGTTCCAAATTAAATGAAACGGTCCCGTTTCAGACTTAAACCATACCTCTATCCTTCCTATACAAATCTATAAAAATTGATATGGGCTTGCTTTCTTTTGCGCTTTTCATGAGCAAAGTTCATTCGCCTTTACTCGGGGCACTGATTTCCGCAATTTTACGGCTACCGACGCTCGTTTTAGTTTACGTGAATTTTCTTGGATAAGGAAGCGAGCCTAGAAAAAAAAAACCTTGCCACTTTTCTGTGTTCACTATAGGGTGTCCCTGATAAAAATATGAACGTTTTAATTTTCGACCACATTTTTCGATTTTCACTCGGTCAATTCACGGAGTCGCTCTTAAACAACAAATATTTAAAGACCTGTAAATAAAACATGGTCAGAGGAAGACATCAGTCTATTCTGGGAAAGATAATGTAAGAAAAGTGCTCTTTTAAAAAGTTTCTCTGTGGGCTTCTCCCGTATATATGTGAATATCATTTCAATAGTAGCACCCTATAACTGTTGGAAAGATTCTCCTTATATGATTCTGTGTGACGATACGTTTTCGCGCCCAAACTGGGAAACTGAACCTTCGCGGACGGCACAGCCATAACTGGGAGAAATTAACTCGGTAGAGACCACCTGGCAGGGAGAAAGGGAAACTCGTAACGATTTCTTGGTACACGGAAATCTACTTCGAGCGAGCTTATATGGAAGTCAAGGATGAGACACCATTTGGTTCTACAGTAAACTTTATTCTAAGTCAGGCCAACAACTGACATGACCCTTAGCGTAATCAAGTTGGTAATGGGAAAAACCTTTATGAAGTGGTTACTTAAGAGCGGCCGTCCGTAAATATCGCCCGGAGGTGTGCAATATGAAAAAATCGAAAATCCCCAAACTTTGCCAGAATATACTTGGTCTGGATGAACTATTTCTAGAAAAAATACTTTGAGTTCAATTGCATTTTTATTTTTCGCGAATGGCGGCAAAATCGGTTTTGTAGCTCTCACGGCGGCTTCACGAGGTTTAGACAACCATTATTTGAACGTCGCTTGAAAATAAACAAAACATTAAATGTGACCAAATATTTTCCTAATGAGAAGAACACGTATTTATAAACAGTCTGAAGTGTTCTTTGTTCGATTCCGCTGCAATCTAAATTTTAGGGGAATTTTTGGTTTTTTCCAAGATTTCACTCATTTTGGCGGACAAAAAAATGGCAAAATTGAGAGTGTAAAATCGCACCTTGGTACATGGCATGGGGTTATATCCAGTTAATCCAGCGAAAGAACAAGGTTTCTTCTTCAAATAACTCCAATAAAATTTTTGGGCTACCCAAACTACAAAATTTTAGGACCCCAAACAAAAGTGACTCAGAGGTCAAAACGCGCCATTCCTTGTCACGCAATTGGAGGTGAAAATCAACAATGCGCACGTGGAAAAGATAACAGACCACTTTGGAGCGAAATATCGTTACCAATCTGAATAAAAAGTTAGCTTTGATCAATATTTGTCGTTTCTGCTGCTCAGCTTAACTGAGATTTAAAACTTTGGCGGTTATTTTCGAAACAAAACAAGCCAATATGGTCTACAATGTATAATATAAATTGTAAGAATAATTTAAAAGAAATATACCTAATTTATTACACGACTCGGGCAGTCAGAGGGCCAATAACTAAAATCAACCAATCAAAATGCTCTATTGCCGGTCAATATTCTCTCAGTATTGGACCGGGCACTGTCCCGAATGGTCCCGAATGATACCGCACTTGTGTCCCTTTGAACTTCAGTCGTATAATAAATCTCTTATTAACCAAGCTTGCTCGGGACCGTACTGGAAGAATATCGGCCCTCAGTCTTTTTTTGTACGGACCGAGCGCAGCGAGGTCCGTACTGTCAAGACCTCGGGCCGATATTCTCCCAGTACGGCCCTGGCGCTTGGTTAATAAGATATATATATTGCTACCTTTTAGTTACTAACTACATGAAAACATCGAATTACTCCACTTGAAAAGTGACAAAACTGACCAAAACGGGACCTAGCCAAGCAAATCATATATTGATGCTGATGCTTATTGGTTTCTTTAACATGAAGTAAGTAGGAGCTTCACTACCACCTACAGTACCCTGGAAAAGATGCTAGTCCCTCACAGAGTACTGATTGTCTGATGTTACCAAACGGCTGCCAGTACCCATTTATACACTCGAGTGAGGAATTACACAATGTGGATTAAGGTTTCTTGTCTATAGTAAGGAAACAAAGCAATGGCAGAGTACAGGCTCAAACCAACAGCCTTTGACTCAAGAGCCCACTACTAGCTCTCTAACCACTAGGACACTGTGCATTTCATCATCAATTCCTTTCCCCCATATAGGGCATGGGCAAGTTACACCCACTGATATAATTAAATATCAGTTTACAAAAGCATTCCACTAACCCGTACTCTTCAAAGCAACCAGAGCTCAATATGGCACACAATGAATGAATCTGCAAAAACAATAAGTTATTTTCATTGAGCATGTAGCCATTATCGACATAGCCACTGCAGCTAGTAAACCTTGTCTGCTTGCCAGATCACCTTTCTAGGCAAGCTAGAACAGACCTACCGAGATCATCAACATGACTTGATGGCCTCGGCATTTGCAGGGTTTTAGCTTAAATGGGAAAACTAACAGTGCAGAAGATTTCTAAAATGTATAGTGTAACTGGAAATTAAAATATTAGGTTAGATAGCATTTAAATTCAACACTCGCTATGATTTGAAGGCCAGCACTCCAAACATTTGAATGCACTGAACCACTGCCTCCTTCTCCAGAATGTAACTGAGCAATTCTCAATATTACGTTAAACATAAAGAATTTATTTGTACTAGAAAATCTGTAAGTATGTTAAAAAACACTGGTTTTATAAAGAACATCACTGTAATAATAAAACTACTCACAAAATTAGGCTGCAAAGGTGGTGCCATTTCCAAAATCAATTCTGAAAACTCCTTTACAGACACCTGACTGTGCAGGAATAACTTTTCAGCAAGGTCCATTAATTTAAAATGGAAGCCCACAGACGGTCTGTCAGGTGAACCTGGCCAGAACTGACTACGTACCAAAGTAATCGCATGGCTTTCACAGTCAGTGACGGCGACTTCCTTCAGGTGCTGGTTACCTATATGCAGAAACAAGAAGCAAAGGATGTACATACGCAAACACATTGAAGATAAAATTGTACATCAGTGAAGATAGTGCAGCACCAACACTGGGAAAAAACATTTCTTTTCAAAACCTCTGACAATTGCAAACGTTTTGAAACCTGTTTAAATTTGCTTTCGAAAGCCAACATTGTGCAAGCTTTGACTTTGTGTCCAACTTACCGAAGGCATCTATTAGTTTGAACCATTTCAGGATTCTTGTAATGCACCATGATTAGGGAACAATGGAATGAATCTGTTATCCTTTAAAGAAATTGATACAGGACAGTCAGTTGATAGATTTTTCCTTGTTTTCTAGATACATGTAAAACTGCGTACGTGTCATCAATGCAAAACTTTGCTAATAGAGATAAAAAAACAGTACGTTTATCCATCAGCTTATTGAAGTTTGACTGCTGTATTTCCATATATTGATTATACCTGCAACTGTAATATATGCAAGCAGTGGTTGATAAATACCTTCCATTGCTCCAGAACGTGGAATTGATTCCTTTCCTCGTGCAGATCATGGGCACAGGTTAAACAAAAAAATTAGCTGTGGTCACACTACAGGCTTTTACCCGGGGAAAATCGTTTTACCTAGGAAAAATTTCCCTGGGTAAATATACCTCGGGTTTCATTTTCCCTAGGTTGAAAGGTCACACTGGAGACCATTGAACTTTGGGAGGTTTAACGTCACAAAGGATTAAATCTCTGAGGGGCACTCAAAGGAATTCCAAACATGCGTTTCGGTTATCGTATCGAAAACTCAAAGAGTTTTCCTGAGAATGTTGACAAAAACTTTCTCGATTTTTATTGGTCGATCTTGGCTTACGACATCCACCGGAGGTACAAAGTAGCGCCTTTGGGGCCCCGACAGGGGATACAATTTTTCACATATTTCAGATTTTGGTACCTCGGATAGGATGGCTGGGTCCGAAATTCGATATCCGAAACGCATGTTTGGAATTCCTTTTAGTACCCYTCATGTCCGGATCCATAGAAGAGCTCCAAATCTACGACTTTGCGTTCCATCTTCTCGTAAACCGTTGAATGGAATGATTCAAAACCGAGTCACCGTAACAGCTGTATAATCCTTCTGTGGCCTTTTGAATTTCGGTGGGAAAATAAGACCTAGAAGGTAAAACATTTTTGTCTCGAATACGAGTTGGTGTGCGATCTGGATGCCTAAGCTGCCTGCCTTGTCGCATTGCTTCACCATAGAGAGCGAGCCGAATTAACCACCGAACTTTGAAAGCCCCAAACGGAGCGATTTTGAGGCTTCCTGGCAGAAAAAAACACTTCCACACAAGTAATGAACTATTAATCTTTATTCGGAGCTGATTTTGTTTGAAGACTGACCACTAGGGACAGATTCTAGAGGCAATATATTTGAACTACATTCGTAACGGCTATGTAAATGCCACAGGAACCCATTACCATAGAAACCCGAAACTACAGGTATTTAAGATGGTAAGCCTGTGGTTTCACAACAAGATAATTCCGGATCTGTCACCAGCGCGATCGCCGACGAGCGTCCATTGGTCGGCTACTCTGGGATTTGATTTTTCCCTTTCTCTCCTTTAGGGTAGTTGTCAAGGGAAATCCAAAGGACATTCTTTTGTTTTCAAGTCCCAGACGATAAAACTTTCCCGAGGTAATTTACTTAGGGATAAATCGGTCACACTTGCAAATTTGAGTTTCCCAAGTGAAACTGTCAACAAGTCAAGTTTCCCTAGGACAAAACCCTGTAGTGTGACCACTGCCTCGGGCCGCAGTACCGACATCGCACAGTCGCCTCTCGTTGTTTACATACGGCACAAATGTATTTCTCCAGGAGAGTTTCTTCCCCCACTGCTGTTGTAAACAGTTTATCCCGTATTTTCTCCCAGTTAGCTACGGAGCTGTAGTTTCTTCGATGAGCTTCAGAATGTTGAGCCTCATCAGGTGAAAATATGGGAATGTCGGGGTCATCGACAGCTTCAAGAAGAGGAAAGCTTCCTTGGATCGGCTGAGAACCAGCTGTGTTTGAGCTGACCGTTAACGGACTATGAATAACAGTCTTCTCAGTTCTTCCGAGGACAATCGTTTTCACAGAAACAGGTTTGAACTTCTTCATAACTCACGAAATTAAACACCGTGGTGAACTTTGAAATGACCGTCAAAGTAAATGGCGAAACTCTGCGGTTAACCGCATCAGACGGCTCAGACGGTCATTTCACTCGGGTACTACCCAAATTCTCAATTGAGAAATACAGGGTGTTACCCTATGAGAGAATGTGACACGGGTGTAACTGAACCCTAATTTGGATACTTATGTGAATACTGATTTTAATCTTCCTAATCAGCGCATCCAAAGCCAATACTTTTCGCCACACAGCTTTAAACTGTTCAAGGAAAAAAATTTCTGAAAACTCGGTTTAGTCTAGTTTTTCCATCTTCCAAAACAATATTGTGAGTATCAACCGCAGTTTAGAAAATTTTGAATTGTTATTAGATGAACTGGATTTCCACTTTGACGTTATTGGTATCTCAGAAACAAAAATGACAAATTCTTGTGTAAACAACGCCCATCCGAGCATTCCAGGTTATGTCTTTGAGCACGTGCCAACACCTCTGGCCTCTGGAGGCGCTGGCCTTTTTATTGATCAACAACACTGTTTTTGAAAAGACTTCAAATGAGGCATTCCAAGCCCTCTGGGTTGAAATCTATTTTGTCAACCATAAAAATATTGTTTGTGGAATAATTTATCGCTAGCACAATTCGCCCGAATACTTCTTAACGTACCGTATTTATTCGTCTATAAGCCGATCTCGGCTACAGGCCGAGACCCTAAACTTCGGTCTGTTTCAATCGAGAAGGTTCTTAAAACATGTAAATTGAAAATACTCGGTTATAAGCCGAGACCATGTCCAGAGAATTCCATTCTCGAACAAACTGAAATGAACGCAAAAGTTTCGAAACAGAATAGAGTTTCAATGCAGTATTGCCGTCGAAAACACATTCCGAGATAACAAGAAAGTCAGTGAGTCGCTAGAGGAAAGATCAAGAGAACCTCTTTCATTGAGAGCTCGAGATGTCAGCGAAACGCACAACAATGGGCGTTTCCTCAGAAATATTTGCGGCTGGATGAGAGATGACTTGATTGGTTTAGAGAGCAGAGAAGCCAAGATAAGTTTTCTTTTTACGCAAATTTCAACACCTTAACATGTGACGATCGACGAGTTTGTTTACCAATCGTGGGAATGGGCAATTCTGATAGGTCAGTTTCGAAAATTTTAAAACACTTTCGCAAGCTCTATACACTCGTTCAAAACCTGCAGAATCTCCGATACTCTAGACGGCATGGAAGATGAAACAATCTACTCGAAATAAAAGGCAGAACTAGTAGATGAGGAGGAGATGGACGACGAATTCCACGCCGACACTGAGGACGAACAGTAAGCCGTATTTACTACGCGCCGAAAACAACAAACCGCTCCGTTGGAAGTAACCACATATTTAGAGTCAATGACCAACTTCAACTTTATTTTGTTATTTACTTCTGCATGCAATATCTCGGCTTATATACGAATATATCCATGTTTCCTTTGAATTTGCTGTTTCGAAAAAAATATGTTTGGAAAAACACTCGGCTATAAGCCGAGAACCCTTCTCTAGCTCAAATTTTCGAGATTTTGGCAAAGTTTAGTGAAAAAATCGCTCGGCTTATAGATGAATAAATACGGCAATAGAGAGCGAAGGAACGAAATGAGCCAATGCAACGCGCCTTGTCAGTGATCTGGAAATTTTATAAAGACAAGATATTGAAGAATGCTGCCAAATTATTTACCAGAATACATCTGTAAGACGGTGGCCAAGCATCACCCTTTTCGTTATCGTGCCTCCTTGGAAAGAACCCGATAATTTTCTTCTTTCTTTCCACAGAACATCGAGCACATTTGTGCACGCGTCTCACAATGATAAGGATAAGAAAGAAGAGAAAGTCAGGAGGTGATTACAAGGAGAAATCGCCAGCAGGTATCGTAAACACTTCGATCAGAGGAAGGTAAAAGAAGATTACTTGCATTTCCATGAATATGTACTGTTCTTTTCCCACTGTAGAGAAGGAATAATCTGTCCCAGGCTTGATTCGTCGCGTGGTACTAAATCTCATTCTTAAGCCATCTTATTCTATGAAAGCCTCCGCCCTTAACTGGGTTCGGGGCCCGACACATTAAGATTATTATTCGGATGGCCTTCTATTTAGAAACAACCAATCAAAACATGGCCTTCGAGAGCTATTTAGCGCTTCGAAATTGACTGATAAATCTGAATTGCAACATGACCAAACTGCAACGACCTCTGAGTCTGCCGTGGCACTAACAATATTACACACTTTAGGACTGGTCGCAGGAGAAACTGTTCCTGTTATTTAGCGAGAATCTCAATGTTTCTTCGGGCTCCGCCTCCGTCCATTGTTGGAAGTCACGTGACCTTGGAATAAACAATGCGAGCGCGCCCTGTTGGGGAAAAAGTTCCTGCTATATGATAATTATAGTTATTGACCTTTATATGTATCGGACAGATTATTAGAATCATGTCTTCGAAGAGAAAGAGGATCAGAGTTTCAAGGAATAAAAACACAAGTCAAGAATCCCGAAAAGTAAGCGAGGAATAAAAACAACATGAATTCTTAAGTCACGACATAGCATCAGTTCTGGGCAACTGGAGAAGCAATGGCTTCGCCCCAGAGAAGAGTGCCAGCTGTTTTGCACTTGCACTGGAGGAGATTCACCGCCGTTTGCTTTCTCAGGAGTTTGATTCAGTTTGTGACCTGCGAGGCATTTTATAAGATGTGCTAGAAGCAAAAAAAATCTGTTCTATATAGTTAAGGGACTGAACTTGCTTCGAGGACCTATTTGTTGAAATTAGTCAGCCTTAGCGAGTAGATCCAAGGCAATAGATAACAAATTAACTTTTGAATGT